CCTCACTATAAATGCAATCACTATTTCTTTTCGTTCTTCTTTTGGTGAAATGCATCCACCTGCCCAAAGAGACAGATGCTAGGCAGGGTAAAAAGAGGCAGAAGTTAGGTAGGACTGTTTTGTTCAGCACCCAAGAATGTTAATCTTCACACTTGTGCCCTGAAGATTAACAGTCTCATTTTCTGACGAGGACACTGAGGCCAAGAAAGGAAAAGTGACTTGATTCAAACCACACAGCTAGGAAGTAATGGCGTTGGGTGTTACACCTGTCTGTCTACTGCAAAACCTTCCAAACCTGCTCAGTTTCTCTGCTGCAGGGATGTCAGATGAAGGGCCTTTCTCTGCCCCTTCTATGTAAGCAGGCAGGTGGGCATTTGCCCTACAGATGAAGCTGGATCTACCTCTGCTGTTGTGGGAGACATGAGGACAGAGGCTGCAGCTCTTGGACTGAGCTCTGCTGCTTTCAAACTGTGTGGTCTTGGGCAAATCACTCAGGTTCTCCGAGGCTGTGTCTCATCACCTGTCAAAGGCAGATAATAAATCCTTCCTGTTGCAGGCATTGAGAGGATTAAGCTGGATTAGGTATGTGAAAGTTCTTTGTAACTGGTAATGCCCTCTGCAAATATTAGTTGTTATGCTGATACATTTTTTCTTAATAACCCAGAGGTTGGGATATAAAAATCATCCATGTCCTTTATTAAGACATTCCCTAGGAGCTAAGCTATTTTATGTCTTTTTGTTCTGGTATGATATAGTGAGTTTTACACTGAAATGTCTGTAAAGCAGTTTTAAATGACCTAAAAAATAACCAACCTGTGGTTCTTGTTGATGTTTTGAAAATCCCTGGAAATGATGATAGTAATGACATAGCTAATTATGGAATGCTTACTAGGTTCAGGGTGCTCTCCTAAATGCAGTAATTCATATAATGTTCACAACACCCTAGGAGGCTGACACTGCCACCATCCCCATCTTACAAATGAGGAAATGGAGACACAGACAGGTGCATAACTTGTATAAGGCCACAAGGCATTAAGTCACAGAGCCAGGCTTCAAACGTCAGCAGTCTGGCTTCTAAGCACTATGCTGTTTGGCCTGTCTCTATGCTGTCCTTCCAGTTTTGCCTAAGAGGTTGTGACAACACCCCCAGTATCTCCATAAACAGATCCCTGAGTTTCTGAATACCTCATTATTGGAATCTGGCCTAACATTTAAGAATGATAACTCAAAGAAGAAAATACAACATAGAAAAATCTGATTTGTGCCAACATTCAATAAACAGGGAATCTCAAAGACCTAATATGCCCTATGCTAATGTGTTGCCATTAGGTTTTTTTTGTGGCCATTCTAGGTTTAAAACTAATGTAGAGATGAGAACACTGAGGGTGAAGCAGAATGTTGCAAGATGATTTTTTTCAGTTCCTCTTTCCTACCTCTGCCACGTAGTAGGCAGGCCTTTTAAAATCTCTTGAGCCTTGGTTTTCTCATCAACCTGTCAACGTGCTTCTCAGGTTTGCTCCACCAAGAATTGCAGAGATTTTGTTCCCTTCCTTGGCAGAGCTTCCTTGAGGATTCCTGGCTGTCCCCAGGAGGTGTCAACAATAAAATCTCCAAACAGGTATTATCAGTCCCTTCATGACATCAGCTGTTTTTTCTTCCCTTTTATTTCACTTTGCTCTTGCACTGCTGCCCACAAAGCCAGTTGAAAGTGCCTATCCTTCACTACTATATGGGTTGCCCCTATTGTAGGGGTTGCTCTGCCCCGCTGCTCATGATGCCACTATCATGTACCATAAATTCACTAAAGGTTCTCACCAGCATGAGAAAGTTCTTCCCTAGGCCCTACTTATTCCTTTCATTAATTCGTTAGTTACACAATTATTTATTGATGGTCTACTTGTGCCAGTCACTAAATTTAGAAGTTGGGATATATTAGCACAGTAGATACTGTCCCTGCCTTCATGGATGCCATATTTGAGAAAGAATAAGCAGCAAGTAAATTATACAATGTCTGCAAAGTCTAGAAACATTGGTGAGTAGACATGATGTCATTAAGGACATCTTCAATCTGTAAAACGAAATATTATCTCTATTTTCAGACTTTCAGACTTACTTCTATTATGATGGCAGAAGTACAGAGTGAAATGAAAACAGAGAGAGTAGACATCTCTCTCTTAACCTAATGGAAGCAAGGAAGGCTGTAGGAAAGAAGAGATAGCTGAGACCTGGAGGATGAGTGAGGAATTGGCCTCAACAGGAGGGCGAGTGGAGGGGCTGCTGTGTGCAAGATCCTATGACCAGTATGTTTTTACACCAAGATGCAGATCATGAAGGTCACCAGGCTGATGTCCCCAAGGGCTTTCTGTGCCAGGCCCACTTTCTCCTGAGGACTTTTTTTTTATAAGTACTTGGGAGCAGGCCAGAGCCCTCTTCTTGAAGACAGAGATGACTTTTCCTTCTATCTGGATTCTCTGCCAGCAAGTGCTCTTTCTCCTGACCTCTGTATCCCATCCTAACTTCTATAGTTGACTCATTAGTTATAAGGATTGAGTTTCCATTCTAAGCTTTCTCTACTTGTCATCCAATGATCGTATTAATATCTACCTTATGAAATTCAGATGAAGATTAAATAACATAATGTAGGTTAAAAGACTTCATAAATTGGGAAGCACTCTATAATTGGCAGCTATTATTATTATTACTATTGTTAAACTAATTATAATAATTATTATTCCCACAGAAGTTATGTTATTAGTCCAAGGTCACACGAAAAGCCTCCCACTTGGACATTAAGCACATGGAGCTAAAAGCATTTCAAAGATTTATGTTCTGGGATGCAAAAATCTCCCACATCCAGGCATCTTGTGCTGTGTTCAAGCCTCCAGGACCACAGCCAAACTGTCCTGCCTGGACTCTGCCCCTCGAATACTGCAGCTCCTTCACCGGTACACCAGTGAAAGCCACAGTTGCCAAGATTTTCCAAAAGCACAGTTTGCATTTATTTTGTTTAATTCTTGCATTATGTTTCAGCCTCCTCCAAAATGCATTTGTTTGCAGAAAGAGCCACGTGGGGAAGTTCAGCCCACAAATAAGAATATAATTATTACGCAGTTTAGCAATGCCTGGGCGTCACCCGGGTATTCACTGGTGCTCCGAAATTCAATTGTCGCTCCTTCAAGACCGTATTTAATAGGATAAACAATTTCTGCTAAATGCAATAAATGTGAACCCGGGCTGTCATCTCCATAATCAACTCAAATTTCCCATTAGAAACAGTGGCTGTGATTGAGATTCAGAATTTAATTTGGCAGCGCTCGCTTCAGCGTGCTAGTGTCAGCTTCATGGGAGCCTCCCATCAAGCAAAGACAGAACCGCTCTTCCCTGTCTCAGGGGAATCTTAAAAGAAGATAGATTATAACTAAAGAAAATTATACAGCTTCAGTATAATGAAAGAGATAAAACATTATTGGATTATCCTGTTGAAATAACAGCAGACGGCAAAGCAATAATATTAAACCAAACAAGGACCCAGACCCGTCAGCTGAATTGCAGGGGCCACGGGGTTGCAGGAAGGCAGACAGGGATCACCGCACTTGCTGGAAGAACCCCTAGCAGTACAATAGAAGCTCCTTCTGATGGCTGTTCTATGGACTCAATTCCAGACAGCTGGTTGGGTGAGATTGCTGTGTGCCAGTAACCAAAGCTCGGTGTCATATGTTAAGGTCTCAGGCCCCAGCATCAAACCCCAGTGGTAAACTCCAAGCAAATTATTTGGCTGAAAATCAATGGGTTGAATCAATAGGATGAACCAATTCACCTTTAACCAACTGCTTTTTACTCCACCAACTTTATTTCAACAAATTCACCTGAAGTACTTAAATCAGACAGGAGGGGCCCAAGAGCAAAGAAAATCTTACAGGATGTTTTAATATGATGGAATGAATGAGAGAAATAAAGCTTAAATGCTCACTTGACAATCTAGAAAATCAAAATTTTATTTCTGGTAGCCCAGAGAAAAATTGTCTTATTCTCTTCTTCAAGCCTTCCGCCCTACCCCCAAAATGGTATTTGCACAAGGGCATAAGTGAGCAAAGTAGAATGTACAGACAGTTTCATGGGGGAGGTAGGGAACAGTTTATTTTGCACATTACCCCACAACCATCAACTTAAAATTCTCTTTCACGTGTTTCCTCTTCCAGCCACCATGATCTTCTCTTCTTTTTCAACTTTCTCTCCTTTTTCAACTTTCTCTCCTTCAGGGATCAGTTTCCCTGGCTCTTGTCTCCAGCTCAGGATCTTCCCTGGGAACCCACCTTGCCACTCCTTTATTAAGCACAACAATTCCACTCTGCCCCAGAACTCCTGCTTCCAACATGCACAATCACACCCTTCCTATACTCAGCATCAAAGTGAGCTGGGGGACCAGGATCCTCTCTCCTCAGAAGGGAGTGGCTGGAGATTTGTCAATCACACACACACACACACACACACACACACACACACAGTAATTTCTGTTGCATTTTATTTCATGAAAAACTCTTTGTTAATCAGATACTCATTTACTGAGAGGTAAGAGAGCATCATAGTTAAGAATTTAGAATTCTAGAGCCTGAATTTGCAGCCCAGGTCTGCCGCTTTCTAACTGTGTAACAATGGACAAATTGCTTAAGTGCTGTAAGCCTCAGTTCCCCCAGCTGTTCTGGCATCTACCTTATAAGACTGTCATGAGGACGGAAGGAATTAATACACAGAATCCATGGCTGACATATAGTAGTCATCCAATAAACAGGAACTACTATTATTATTGAACAAGACTTTGTACTCATCAAGGAAAGTACACAATATTCATTCATCGATTCATTATTAAGCACCTACTATATGCCAGTCACAGCTAGAAAGTGGAAGTGAAATGTGAACAACTTCCAACACAATTCCTGGCTGGTAGTCAATATGAGGGAAATAAAGTTGTAGAGTGAGTAAGGTGAGGATTACAAAGATGCTTAAGCCTTTAACTCAGTATTTATTTAAATCAACTGGCATTTTACAAGCTAATATCTTTATTTTAAACAGCCTGCATGGCACTGCCTTTTGCCCTCACATGAATCCCAGGTGGAAACTGGTGTAGGGGTGAGCTGGCCTGAGTACTTGAGGGCTCAGAGCTCTCACTGTATGTAGCCCACTGCTGTATTATCTGCTAGGAGCAGTCAAGTGTTTCTGAAGCAGGGCCTGAGCAGGGGCTGCCCCCATTTTGAGGAGGTGGATTGTTACACTGCCTTTGTCTTGTCTTACGTCCTCCAGAGCATGAAGACCAACTTGACCAGCAATTCCACTTCCCATCAGTGGGGATATCTATAAGAAAGAAGGTCAACAAACATCAATTAGCCCTTCTTATATTCTGGTGCCTTACTGGGGTTGGGTGAAGTATGCAAGCCAAAAGGCTTTGGGAGTCTGAATCTCTAAGCTTCCTGCTGCAGTTGACTGGCCATCTTCCTGGCCATTGTACTTGTCATGCTCCTGCCTACCACAGGGCCTTTGCATAGGCTTTCCCCCTTGCCCAGAACACTCTTCCCTCCTCTACTCACCTGGTCAATCCAATTCACCCCTCAGATCTTAGTAAAAGTGTTATTTCCTTGGGAAAAGCTTATCTGACTCCCCAACTCCCTATCAGTTTCCTGTGACTCCTAACTTTCCGTCAGTTCCCATATTTTAAGTTCTCTGAGCATTTTGTAGCAGTTGTTACAATTTAAACTTTAAAGAACTTTATGGGACAATTCAAATGATATTGGCCTTCCTTTCCAAAGCAAAATATCCATTGTGACAGGGGCTATATCTGATTTGCTCACCCAGCAGCTAGGCTGGCACACAGGAGGCCCTTGCTAAACATGTGTTGAGTGGATGAATGGATGAATAAATAAATGAATGAATGGTTTCCAGTTTAGACAGATCCCAGCTATAGGATGCTGGACAGTTACCTTCTTCTCAACCTATATAATGGAGCTGTGTTATCTACTATGAGCAATGGATGGTATAGATGAGGTGACAACAGACACCAGTGCTTTCCACATTCTGACACTTTGCTTTCACTTGAGGATTTTTGATTGTTGGTGAGATTGGCAAGTCATCAATCACTTCCATCATGATATATCGTGTGTCCAGCTATGCCACTACCTCACAGTGTAATTCTGGGTAAATTAAATAACTCTGGGCCTCTCCATTTGAAAAATAAGAGAGCTGGAGTGCATGGTTCCCAAGGGCTCCTCCAGCCAATAGGAACCCTGTGGTTGTGTGACTGCAGACTCACTGGGAAGACGACTGCTACGGGCATGGTTGAGGTGCAAGACGAGAGGGTGGACAACCTTGAGTGTTTCACTGGGAACATAAGAGTGCAGGCAGGAGTTACGATCAAAGGCTGTGGGGGCAGACCCACTGGACCTGAACCTCGGTTTCTATACTTCCTAACTGCGTGACTATTGGGCATGTTAGTGAGTGACCATTGAACCTCAGTTTCTTCATCCATAAAATGGGAATATCAATAATATCTACTTCATGGGGTTGTTGTGAGGATTAAAGAATTTAATATATATAAGATACAAAGTAACAATGTGCTCTTTAAAAAGCAACCAATGTTATCTTGCTTTTACAATGTGTAAGGTATCATTCCAAATGCTTTATATGCCTCGTTACAAACTCAAGACAACACTATGAGGTAGTTAATATGATCATATTCATCTTACAGGCACAAAAACCGAGGCATAAAGAGGCCGAGCATCTTGCTCAAGGTCAGTTATTAAATGATGGAGATGGAATTTCAACTCAAGCTGAGTTCAAGCACTCAGCAAGGTGTCTAGTATATAGTAAAGTGTCCAGTAAATGTTCGTTGTTTGTTTTACATGTGCCATTTCCATATTGAACAGTATCACCAAAAAGTCACAGAAAGGAATAGAAGTGAGAGAGGAGTGAAAAGTTGAGAACTTTTATGTGTTAAACTGGCCAAAGAATTTGAGAGCTGGAAGGGATCTAAATGATAGCCAAGTCTTTCATTTGTTAATTCAACTATTATCACTGAGCAGCAGCTGTGCCTGGCTACTGAGACACAGAGGTAAATGGGATATGGTCCCTACTCACAGGTGCAGGGGAGCTAGATAGACACATCAACCCAAAGTACAAGGCACAAAGAGCTATAATAGATACATGTTCAAAGTCCCGGGGGAGCCAGCAGGAGGAATTAGCTAATTCTTTGGGGATTAGAGGAATTTTTTACGGAGGAGGAGGCATCCATGCTGGAATTTGAGGGCTGAATAGGAGCATACTAAGCAGAAAAAGAGGGTAAGCATTCCAGAATGATCCAAAGAGATAGCTTACAAAAGCCACGCATTGATATTTCTCTAACATGAAGCACTCTGTGTTGTAAAAATAATGAAATGAGTAACAATCAATGCATCAGTTATTAAATGATGGAGGTAGAATTTCAACCCAAGCTGAGTTTAAGCAGGATGGATCTCGGGTTTCTTAGTATCCAGCCCCACAGTCCATACCCGCACCTTGCTCTTGTTCTGGTGAATTATTCTCTGGACCTCCCCAGAGTTCCTTTTCCAATCAACTTACTCTTCCGATAGGAGACCTCACAGGCTAGGCCTTGGGATCCAACAGGACAGATGCAGTCACAGCGTGATCCTGAGAAGACAAGGCAGAGAAAGTGTGAATCATGCCAGGTGGAGCAAAGAACTCCTGGAGCTCAGCCCTGCATATCACTGCAGTTCCATCAGGTTAAAACAGAGCACATATTTAGTTAAATAGCTTGCTAAGGGCAGGTTCAGTGCCAGGAGTACCTACTCCTTTCCTGAGGGCCTTTGCCATGAAGGGGTGTTTATTGCCATCCCTGGGAATACATAGAGTTGTTGAGGACAATTACTCATTAGCTGACATTTGACCCATTCTTAAATGCTTTCAGTGTCGGAAGCTACATTAGCAGTCACTGAGGCCAATTGTCATTGATGTTCAACTTCATCCTAAATAATTGCCGAGCCTAGGCTTGAATACCTCAAGGATGGGGAACTCATTACTCTTCGATGTCTCATCTGACTTTTGGCCAGTTCTGACTCCTTGGAAGTGATTCCCTATGCGAATTTGCAATCTGTCAAGGAACTTCTCATCTGAATCACAAGAAATCTCTTTACAGGATTGCCCACCATAGGTCAGGCCCTGCAAGCACCCCAGTCTCTGGCTCCATATTCTCCCTCACCTTCACTCTATAGCCTCAGGTGGGTCCAAGTTTCTGGGTCCAAATTTCACACAAGGCAAGGGAGAGTTCAGCAACCCTAGATTAAAATCTTGAGCTGATGAGCTGATTCCACTTGCTGCAGAACTAACCCTCACATAGGGGTCCTTGTGCTGATAGCAGAACTTCTAGGCCGTATGCTCTCACTTATGTCTTCTCTGCTCATGTCCATCCTGTCCAAAGAGCCAGAGACATATTCCTTAATCCCAGTCTGGCAACTGGACTCTTTCTGCCTGAGAGTATGCCTTCTTCTTTGTCCCTTCCATTGAGCTAACTTCATTCACATGGGCTCTGCCTTGACTCCAGCTGATTCCTGGGCTGGGATTTGCTGTAACCAGTTGCTCCTGATGCCCTGTTTTGTGTGCTGGGCTGGCCTCTTTTTTAGAGTCTTGCTAACCTATCACAACAGGAGCATAAGATCCCAGGCTTTCACCCCTCCCAGTCTGCCCTGCCCACTGCAGTGACCCCAGGCATGTCTCTTGAGTTTAACAATCAAGTTCTAGTGGCCCATCCTTGCTGCTACCCACAAATCTTATTACATATGAGTCAGGACATGCGCAAAGGGCTTCTCCTACTCAGCCCAGGCCATCTTCTGGGTAGAGACACTCTGAGTCTATTCCCGCTCCTTGCTGTGGACCACAGGGTCTCAGCCTGCTCCTGTCTTCAGCTTAATGATGCTGTCACCCACAGTAACCCTTGGGGCTAGAACCCAGGTATACTGACAGCCAGAGGAGTTTCTCCTGGTGGACTAAATTCTGACTTCTTGGTAAATAGAAGCAGGCAAATGGCTGGCCCCCAGCCTGCTTCAGATTATGGCTTGCACCAGGGACACTGGCTGCCTGAAAGTAGTACCTTTCAGGACAGGGACTCCATTCCCTTGACAGGGAGCACAGTGGCAGGAACTAACTTCCTTCTGGAACTCCTCCAGCGCCTGCTTCATATTCTGCTTCACTGTGCTGGAATAGGCAAAATCTGTGGCTGTCACTAGTTCGTACAAAGGCTCCACCTGGAAAGAGAAAAGGGCATTTATTTAAAGAGAAAAACATTTATCAAGTAGAAGTGTAAAGCAAAACTACAAAGGAATGGACCGGGATCAGTGCACAGAGACCACATGTGGGTTCCTATGAAACTAGATAGATCTCCCATCTTCTCTCTGCTTCCCCTTACCCGATATACACAAATTAGCTTACTCAAGTTCAGGTCAACAAACACTGAGAATGCTTACTAAGTGCTAGGCATTAAGCAAAGAAAAAAAAGGGTAAGATAAAATCCCTGCTGTCAAGGAACTCAGAATCCAGAGAGACAGAGACAAACATACCAACAGATGGTTACCACATGGTGGTTACAGGCAAGAGCAGAAACTTGCAGAAAGAAGCAGGTGAGAGCAGAAAGGAGTGGATGGTTCATCTATCTTTGGTGGGGCAGAGAAGGTGATTTTTCAGCAGCTCTTTGGAAGGATTATAGGAGTACCGTCCCAACATCACTATGCCCTCCAAACCTATCAAAATCATGCCCATCCTGCAAGAGTCACCATCAGGAACCTTCCAGAGCTCCAAAGCTCACAGGACACCTTCCCTCCATTAATCACTCAAGATACTGTCTGCACTACTCATCTGAAACAAATCCCAGGTTTTTTACTGCTCCTTTATAGTCAATACTGTTTTTTTTTTTCTTTTTTTATGTGCAGGGTTCCTTTTTTTTTTTTTTTCTTTTCTGATTAGATTGTAAGCTCCTGGAGATCAGGGCAATATCTCAGCTCTGTGTTTGGAGAGTCCAGCCCCCGCTAAGTGAATATAGTGGCTGGATGGATGTAGGGGGATGGTAGGCTTCATTAAGGTGATGGCAGGAGGCATGGATGAGAGGATTTGGCTGTCAGAAGCATAGAGGAAGAATCAGCAGATGCTGTTCACTTGGTGGGCATGGCCGTGTTTGAGAGGGAGATGTCACAGATAGATGTGGTATTGTTTGTGGGTTAGAAAAACCAGAGGCACAGACAGTCCAAATAGATAGTTTAAAATGTTCTATTCCTCTTGACTCAAGTTGCAACTCCAGGGCCAGGTTCCTCTCCAGCTTTTGCTTGTGATTCTGCCCTAATCCTGCCCTGGAGAGTTTAGGGTGTGTCTAAATGCAGGCAATCACGACTAATAGAAGCCTCCCTTGGGAAGAAAATTGCTTCCATTTCTTAATGCATCTGACGCTGACCTTCGCTCCAGTGGGCAAAGCAAGGCCCCTTGGTGGTCCCATTGTCTCACCATTTTGTGGTCAATGAATTGATCCAGAGGCTGTTTGCAGAACCATCCAACCTGCTGGCCACACAAGCGATGGGGGTGGGAGTTTGGAGACAGAAAGAGAGGAGCTTGCTTTACACCAATGAAGAGCTCCTCCAATAATCTGATTTTGCTCCCGAAGCACCTTAAAAGGCTGCCATTAACCACAAAGGCATTTTCCTACCAGCACTGAGATTTGCTGCAGGAGACAGAGGAAATCAGAGGCCAAACTGGAATGAACCTTCCATATGTACTGTGTCCTGGGAGCTGTGTGGAGGTCTACAAATATGATCCTACTTCGTCCTCACAAACTAGCGATTATCAGCCCCATTTTCAGGTGAGGCTAAGTAATTTGATCAATTCACAATATGGTATTACCAGAATTCGATTCCCAAACCTGTGTTTTTCCTCCTACTTCACTGTGATTATTGATAAAAATGGCTTGATTATTCCCATTTACAATCTCCCTCCTAGGCTTCTCCAAATTTTGCAAGCTATGGTTTGACTTGCAAACAGCAACTCCTCAAGACTCCAAATTTCCTTTTTAAACTTAATATAGCACATTCATCTGTTCTTTGATTTGCTCCTCATTTTTTCCTGTCTTTTTTCTTCTCTCCTTTTGCTCCTCCCTCCTTACCTTTTGTCCTCCTTTTCTCTTTCTCTTTCTTTCCCACCTCTCCCCCAAATACACAATTCTAATCACTCACATTGATCATTGAATCCTTAGCACACCTGCCCTTGTGAAAATTTTCTTTTATCATATTGCTGCAAAGAACTGGTGAGCACCGCCTAAACTCTACACAAGTTTCTATACTAAACCTTGGTGTTCTTAGCGATAACAAATAATTATTACCATAGCTAGCATTTATTAGGTGCTGAATTAAATACTTCACATACATTATCTAACTTAATCTTTACAACAATCTTATGAGGTCGTTAGTCTTTTGTTTCCTTCTTGTACAGGTGAAAAAGCTGAGGCACAGAGACATTAAGTAGATTCACAAAAGTCACAAAGCTAGTGAGTGGTGGAAAAAGGATGTGACCTGTTAACACTGTGGTCTGTTCCTTTCAGTGTATATTTTTGGGGAGATAGATGGACCTATCCAAAGGATGAATAGGTAACTATTTACACCAAATTGGTGGCAAAAGGGCAATTTTATATCTCACTTTCTTCACTTATCATCAGAATATGAGCATTTTCCCACATGATTCCATCGTCTTTGATAAAATGGCTTCTCACAGCTTCAGAGTATCCTATATGGATGAGCCACAATGTATTCAACTCTTTTTCTATTCTTGAGCCTTTAGGACTCAAGAGTTTCCTTTCTTTCTTTTCTGTTTTGCTACTTCAAATAACAAACGAAGACATGCCTTTACACATACATCTTTACCAACTTGTCAAATTATTTCTTTAGTACATTTTTGCATTGGTGGTTGTTGGATGAAAAGCTATAAGCATTTTTAATATATTGGATATATCCACTTAAATTCTGTTCCTAAAGAATTGTATCAGATTATATTCCCATCCTATTTGACAGAAATATCCATCTCATCACAGTCAATTCCAGTGAGTATTGTAGACTTTTAATCACTGTCCATTTAATAGGTAGAATATAATATTGTAGTTACTTTAATTTTTATTTTTTATGATTACAGAAGTTAAACATTTTGTATCTTTATAAACCAACTGAGAAGTGTTCATCTCCTTTGAGATGTCTCTTTCTTCAAAACTATCTTTCCTTACATATTAAGGATCACATTTGTGGTAAAATTTTTTTTGATGTGTTATCAGCCATTTAGTTATATTCGAGGGTTTTCTTTGTTTTTTTCTTTTTCTTTTTTCTTTTTTTTGGAGACAGAGCCTTGCTCTGTCACCCAGGCTGGAGTGCAATGGCACCATCTCAGGTCACTGCAACCTCAACTTCCCGGGTTCAAGAGATTCTCCTGCCTCAGCCTCCCGAGTAGCTGGATTACATGTGCCCGCCACCAAACCCAGCTAATTTTTCTATTTTTAGTAGAAATGGTTTTCACCATGTTGGCCAGGCTGGTCTTGAACTCCTGACCTCACGTCATCCACCCTCCTTGGCCTCTCACAGTGTTGGGATTACAGGTGTGAACCACTGCACCTGCCGGATTTTCCTTTTTGAAATTCAGAATTTATTTTTGCAGGTGAGCTTTGTCGGTCCAAATCCAACATTGTCTTTCCAGGCATATGCTGCCACAACATTTATATTTTAAGCGCTCTATGGACCAGAGTAATTTGCTTTGAGAAAATCTTTGAATAATTTGCTTTGAGAAAGGTATGAGGGTCATTATTACAGTTTATTAAATACTTCAGCTTCTTTTCTTTCTGGGCACATGGTAAGGTTGCCATTCTTGCTCTCTTTGAAGGCAGGTTTGCAACGTGACTTGTTTTAACCAGTGACAGGTGAGAAGAGAGTGTCACTTCAAGGTCGAGGCTTTCCAAACAGAGTGAGGTGACTTGTCCCACTCTTTTATTATCACTGCTGTGGTGATCTTGGGAGCACATGGCAAGATGCAGCCCCATCATCTGGATCTGTGAGCAACTACATGGAGCAAATGCCCCTTGCCAACACACTTTGGACATATGTGATTGAGAAACAAGCTTTGTGGTACCAAGCTACTGAAATGTGGAGATTGTTTCTCTGCATCAGGACGTAGGCTATCCTGATCTCTGTGTGAGCACCATATATTACCACATTTTTTTCCTCCTGCCCTGGGCGATGCCAGTGATTCATACAATGGCTTCTCCACCAGCATAGGACCCAGCCCACAACCTAACTATCCTGACTAGCATAGAAATGTACATGGATGACAGACTTTGTGACTAGGATTACCAGTTAAAGACAGGACATTCAGTTATATTTTAATATGAGATTAAAAAACAAATATATATATTTTTAGTTTAAGTATACCCCATGTGATATTTGGGAGATACTTACTCTAAAAAATTATTCCTTATTTATCTGAAATTCAAATTTAACTGAACTTTCTGTGTTTTCATTTGCAAAATCTAGCAACCTTTTATGTGACTCCTTTACTATCTAAAATCTCTTTGGAATTCTTCACCCATTAATGACCATTTCACTAGGCCACAAGTTTTTCCTTCAAGACTCCATAGTTGTTCCTCCATTTTCTTCAAGCATTTCACACTGCAAAGAATTCTAGGGCCAGTTTGACTTTTATTCCTGTAGGATATATTTGTTCCTAAAAGTAAACACTTTCACCAGGATGTGTTTCGGTTTTGTTTTGTTTTCAGTACTTTGGCTTAGTTTTCAATGAGCTGTTCATTCTGCATTATCAGCTCAGGGAAGATTCTCTTCTTATGTTTTTGATTAATGTGTTTTCACATTTAATCTTGTCTCATTGTTAGGAAGAAGTCTCTGTGTTTTAAGCTTTCTACTCCTGTACTCTCTGTCCATCATATTTCTTTTCTGCCATTGTTTTAATCTCCCTGTCTCTTGCTTCTGCATTATAAGAACATGTTTATAACACCTTCCACATCACTGTCTCAATTTTCTGCAATGTCAGTTCTGTCCTTTATAGCTTCCAATGTGGGCTTTAATTCTGCTATTGTATGTTTGGTTTCCCGTATTCAGTCACTTGCTTTTTCACCTGATTAGTGTCTAAACACCTCAACTTTTATTTCATAAATTCTTCTTTTCCTTGAATTTTATGATAATCACAGAAAATGTGTTCTAAAATTTACTTCTATTTTTCTGTGTTTTTAGACATCATGATTTCCTATAGCATGAACATAATTTCAATCTTTTCTGTTCAAAAATATCTTTTTATGTTCATTGCTGTCTCTTAAGTCTTCTTTGAACAAAGAGCTAACTATGTGTAAAGTTTACCACTAAACATTAAGAATGGGTTCCTCTATGGTCTCCTTCCCTGCCTACCTGCTTCTATAGAAATCATGTTTTAGGCCTTGATCTTGAAGACTGGTTTACATAATTAAGCCTTGGCTGAAACTATTGCCTCTAGAAATTGCTTGTCTACTGGGCTCTGCTGTCCTGAAATCAATTGCCAGTCCAGCTACCTGGTAAGCTGGCTTTGCGGAGATGAATTTTCTGACATAATGTGAAGCCATCTGCAGTTTTCTCTTGCCAGAAAAAAATGCATGTGAGAGTGGCATGCCCAGAGTGTATATTTCCAACTCAGGGTGGGAAGGTACAGAGGTGTGTGAAAACCTTCAACACTCCTGCATCTTCCACTCCTGCAACACACCCAAAACATCTCTGATTCTCCAACACATCCCACATCACATCACATGCTTGGCATTTGACATTCCCAGTGCCCAGGTAGGCACATTCAACTGATCTGAGTAACCAGGGCATTCCTCTGGTTCTCAGTTTTTTAAAAAAGATTCAGGTAAGATATTTCAGGAAAAAGAGATAAAGGCTAGGGATCTATTCTCCCTTGAACTCTGTTCTCTCCCATGATGAGCTGTGATGCCCACCAATGTCATCATGGCATCAGCCAAGCCCAGATTTCTCAGGAGCTCCTGCAGCTCAGCTGATTTTATCCTTCTCATGTTTGCCAGCAACTGTACCCTAAGTGCCACTGCTGAATAAGTGCAAAGGAGAGGGTTTGAATGGCAGCCTTCTTGTTCTGCAGAAACTATGCATTCGACATGCAAATAAAGAAATCACCCAGACTGGGAACTGCAGAGTCTCTCATCAGAGGTCCAGCCCCTCAACCCTCTACCTTGATTGCAAGGTGGGATCTCCAGCGGGTGGGTACTGGCACATAATGACTGTACAGACACTGGCAAGAAGAGCATGGTGTTAAGTTGTGCTATGGGCACCATGCAGAAGTACCCACAGGCAAGGGCCTACCATTGCTGACGTGTATGACAGTCCTGGTCTAACAATCATCTTTTTAGTTTAACATTGTAAATCTCCTCTAGTTGGGGTGACAGGTGGTTAAGATCATTATTTTTTATTCACCAAACCCACAGGAAAGTCTAGAGGGAAGGGAAGAAGTCAGTCTTTTGTTTCAACCTAATAGACTCTTGAACAGCCAAAAATGGATACAACCTCCCTAGCCCTTGATTTTTCTCAATCACAACATGGAGATAAGAATAATTAATTTGCAGACCAGTGTGGGGATTAAATAAAATAACATTTCTAAATGTTAGATGAAAAAACATTTATAAAGAGGGTCATGAATATATTAGGTGCTCAAGACATGTTAGTTGTTGTGATGTCTTGTCCTGTCCTGTAAAATAGTTATGTGTGTGTGTATCTTACTGTCCCTCATAGATTGTATGTTTTATCCTTGCATCTTCCTCTATTTTTCCCTAGTACCTTACTTCCTGTAGCATAGCAGGAATTTAGCAACTATTTGTTGGTTGAATGCATAATGTTTAACGAATAAATAACTAAATGAGTGATTCGCTGGTGAAATAAAAGGAACATTAATTTAATTGATTGAATTTTAATGAAATTAATATTTCTTTTATTTCACTAGAGAGGCCAGAGGCCAGGAACAGTGGCTCACACCTGTAATCCAAGCACTTTGGGAGGCAAAAGTGGGAGGATCACTTGAGGTCAGGAGTTCAAGACCAACCTGGGCAACATAGCAAGACCCCATCTCTAAAAAAAAAAAATTTTAAATTAGCCAGGTGTGGTGACAAGCACCTGTAACCCTGGCTACTTGGGAGGTTGAGGCAGGAGGATCACTTGAGCCCAGGAGTTGGAGGCTGCAGTCAGCCAAGATCATGCCACTGAACCCCAGCCTGGGCAACACAGCAAGACCCTGTCTCTGAAAAAGAAGAAGAAGAAGGAGCAAGCTAGAATTAGAAGCTGATTGTTAGTTTCTTTTAGTAACTTGGGGCCCAAGTGAGAGGGAGTCAAGGGTCTCTAGGTAGTACTGAGCAATGTATTATAATTTATTTATTTCAAATATATTTTCTACTATTGTATATGTGTCTCAAAATTAGGGTCTGGGTCTTAGTGATCTCTGCATTTTATACCTTGGCTTATGGTAGGTCCTCAGAAGCTATTTTCCGGGTGGAGGAAAGGATGGTAGAGCAGCATTGTGTACCTTAATTTTGATGATGGCTGGGTTGTACTGCACAGCGTCTCCCCACTCCTGCATCAGGTCTGCCGTCGGCAGCTCCTGGTACGCCAGAGTGGTGATGTGCTCACTTGCCCCTCCTCGTACCAGGACCACCAAGTCCTCCACCATGGTGTCCCTCTTGTTTCTGTCTAGAATGGACACAGAGAGCTAGCAGGTCACAGAGGATACCCTTCCGCCCCCTATAATTTACTGCAACTCAACCAACAATTTGGGTACATCATAATCACTGAGCTTGTCTGAGAGATGTGGGTAGACCAGACACTTCCTTGCCCACAGGGCAGTCATGGTGCATGGGGCAAAGGGAAACTCACCCATCCATAGGCAACACAAATTGAGGGCAGGACAAGAAAAAGACATTTATCTTGAGCAACTGTAAGTGCTAGTTACTGAGTAAGTTTATGGAAGATAGATGATAGCTAGATTAGACAGATAGATAAAGAGCTCATAGGTAGGTAGATAGGTAGATAATAGACTGGCAAATAGGTAGGTAGATAGGAGAGTAGATAGGAAGATAGATGATAAGTAGGTAGATAGGTCATAGGGGATAGATAATAGATTGGTAGAAAGATAGATAGATAGATAATAGATAGTAGATAGATAGATAGATAATAGAGAGACACACAGAGAAGTAGATGGATAGATAGAGAGATAGGGTATGATATTTTCTTTTACCAGACAGCAATTTTAGGAGCCCAGCATTATTAGCTCTACTTCACAAATTATGAAACTCATACCTGGAATTGTTAAGTGACCTGCCAAGGCCCACACAGCTAGTAGCTGATAAAGATAAAT